ACTCCCTCAGTGCTCCAAATATCTCAGGAGATCTAGTATCTCTCCCCTTCTCTGGAGGATCATGTATGTCTCTCTTAGAGTCCTACTTGTTTTCTAACTTCTCTAGCAGTGTGGATTATAGGCTAGTAATCCTTTGTTCTATGTCTAAAATCCATATATAAGTCAATATATACCATTTTTGTCTTTTTGTCACTGGGTTACCTCACTCAGGATGGTTTCTTCTAGTTCCATCCACTTGCCCACGAATCTCAAGATTCCATTGTTTTTTTTCCCATTGATTAGTACACCAATGTGTAAATTTACCACATTTTCTCCACCCAGTCTTCAGTTGAGGGGCATCTATGTTGCTTCCAGATTATGGCTGTTACAAATAATGCTGCTATGAACATGGTTGAACAGATGTCCTTCTTGTATAAATGTGCATCTTTTGGGTATAAGCCTAATAGCTGAATTGCTGGATCTTATAGTAGACTGACTCCCATTTTTCTGAGGAACTGCCATACTGATTTCCAAAGTGGCTGTATGAGTTTGCACTCCCACCAGCAGTGGAAAAGTATTCCCATTTCTCTACATCCTCTCCAGCATTAACTGTCAATGGTGATTGTGATTTTGGCCATTGTGACAGGAGTAAGATGATATCCCAGAGTTGTTTTGTTTTGCATTTCCCTGATGGCTAAGGATGTTGAGCACTTTCTTTTGTGTCTTTCAGCCATTTTAGATTCTATTGAGAATTTCTATTTAGTTATGTACCCCACGTTTTAATTGGATTATTTGGTGTTTTGGTGACTGGTTTATTGAGTTATTTGTATATTTTGGAAATTGACCCTCTATCAGATGTGGTATTGGTGAATATATTTTCCCATTCTGTGGCTGCCTTTTTGTCTTGGTGGCTATGTCCTTTGCTTTACAGAAGCTTCTCAGTTTCAGGAGGTCCCATTTATTAATTGTTGATCTCACTGTCTGTGCTACTGGTGTTATGTTCAGGAAGCTGTCTCCTGTACCAATTCATTCAAGGGGTACCACCCACTTTCTCTTCTAAGAGGTTCAGTGTGGCTGAATTTATGTTGAGGTCTTTGACTCACTTGGACTTAAGTTTTGTGCATGGTGATAGATATGGATCTATCTGCAGTCTACCACATGCCAATATCCAGTTATGCCAGCACCATTTGTTGAAGATGCTTTCTTTTTTCCATTGTATAATTTTTAGCTTCTTTGTCAAAAATCAGGTGTTTGTAGGTGTATAGATGCATATCAGGGTTTTCAATTCAATTACATTGGTCTTCTTGTCAGTTTTTGTGCCACTACCAAGCTGTTTTCAGGACTATAGCTGTATGATAGAGCTTGAAGTCAGGAATGGTGACACCTCCTGACATTTCTTCATTTTTACAGGGTCCTTTAGACTATCCTGGGTGTTTTGTTTTTCCATATAAAGTTGATTATTTTTTAAGGTCTGTGAAGAATTGGGCTGGGATTTTGATGGGACTGCATTGAATCTGTAGATTGCTCTTGGCAAGATTGCCATTTTTTTACTAAGTTGATCCTAAGAGTATGGGAGATCTTTCCATTTTCTGCATCTTCTTTAAGTTCTTTCTTTAAAGCCTGGAATATCTTTTTATATAGGTCTTTCACATGTTTTGTTAGTGTTACCCCAAGTTATTGTATGTTGTTTGTGTATATTGTAAAGGGTGATGTTTCTCTGATTTATTCCTCAGCCCATTTACCTTCTGTATATAGCAGGGCTACTGATTTTTTGAGGTAATCTTGTATCCTGCCACTTTGGTGAAGGTGTTTATCAGATGCAGGAGTTCCCTAGTAGAGTTTTTCAGATCACTTATGTAAACTATCACATCATTGTTTTGTAGTTCTCTTTCTTTCTTAGTTGTGTCTTTGTGTAGCTTGAGTACCAAGGTTATTGAAGCTTTGTAAAAAAGAATTTGGCAGTGACCCTTCTACTTATATTGTGTGGAATACTTTGAGTAGTATTCTTGATTTAATTTTTATAAGTGATATCTACCCAGGAAATTTCAATTTCTTTAGATTTTCAGATTTTGAGGAGTACAGGTTTTCAAAGTATGACCTGATGATTCTCTGGATTTCCTCAGTGTCCATTGTTATGTTCCCCTTTTCATTTCTGATTTTTTAAAAATTTTCATGTTCACTCTCTGCTTCATGGTAACTTTTAATATTGTGTATATTGTTGATTTTCTTGAAGAACCAACTTTTCGTTACATCGATTCTTTGTATTGTTTTCCTAGTTTCTACTTTATTGATTTCAGCTCTCAATTTGATTATTTCCTGGTGTCTTTTTCTTTGGGGTGAGTTTGCTTCTTTTTGCTTGAGAGCTTTTGGTTTTACTGTTAATTCTCTAGTGAGGCTATTCTCCAGTTTCTTCATGTGGGCACTTAGTGCTATGAATTTTCCTCTTAGCACTGCTTTAAAAGTGTGCCATAAGTTTGGGTATATTGTATCTTCATTCTCATTGATTTCTAGAAAGTCTTTAATGTCTTTGGTTTTATTTATTTCTTGACCCAGGAATAGTGCAATTGTGCATTGTTCAATTGCATATGTTTATAGGGTTTCTGCATTTTCTGTTTTTGCTGAATTATAACTTTAAAGCATGGTGGTCTGATAAGATGGGGGGTTATTCAAATTTTTTTTTGTATCTGCTAAGGTTTGGTATGTTGCCAAGTATGAGGTTAATATTAGAGTAGTTTCCATGTGGTGTTGAAAAGAAGGTATATCTTTTGTTTTGGGATGGTATGTTCTAAAGTTGTCTGTTAAAACCAATTGGGTCATAACTTCTATTAGTCCCTTTGTTTCCTTTTTAAGTTTCTGTTTGGTGGTACTTGTCTAGTGGTGATAGTGGTGTGTTGAAGTCTCCCACTATAAGTGTGTGAGGTTTATGTGATTTTGAGTTTTAGTAATGTTTCTTTTACAAATGCCTTCATATCTGGGCCTATATGTTCAGAATTGAGACTGCATCTTGATGGATTTCTCTGGTGATGAATATGAAATAACCTCCTTTATTTATTTTGATTGTTTTTAGTTTGAAGTCTAATTTGTTAGATACAGGATTGCTACCCACCGCTTGTTTCTTGGATCCATTTGATCCCAACCCTTAACTCTGAGGTACCTTCTATCTTTGAAGTGGATGTGTGTTTCTTGTATGCAGCAGAAGGATGAATTCTGTTTTCATATCCATTCTGTTAGCCTGTGTCTTTCTATAGGCGAGTTAAGACCATTAATATTGAGGGATATTAATGACTATTGTTTGTTCATTTTGTTTGTTTTGGATTTGGTGGTGGTGGTGGAATTGTGTGTGGATTTCAACCGTCCCCCCGCTTTTGGCTCTTGATAAAGTAGCATTATCTATTGCCATTTTTCTTTTTCCTAGTTGTAGTTAATTTCCTTGGGTTGGAGTTTTTCTTCCAGAACTTTCTGTAAGACTAGATTAGTGGATATGTATTGTTTAAATCTGGTTTTGGATGATTACCTTACATGCCATCCTAGAGCCTTCATCCAGTAGCTGATGGAAGCAGTAGCAGACACCCACAGCTAAACACTGGGCTGAACTCCTGGAATCCAGTTTCAGAGATGGAGGTGTGATGAGCAAAGGGATGTAGACCAGGCTGGAGAAACCCATAGAAGCAGTTGACCTGAACAAGCAGGAGCTCATGAACCCCAGACTGATAGCTAGGAAACCAGCATTGGACTGTTCCCGTATCCCTGAACATGGATATTAGTTTGGAGGTCTGATTAATCTATGGGGCCACTGACAGTGCATCAGTATTTATTCCTAGTACATGAATGGACTTTGAAAGCCCACTCCACATAGAGGAATGCTCTCTCAGCATGTTTCTTTTCCAATACTGAGATTTTGTCTGACTTGATCTTGTGTAAACTTATGCATGCAGTCACAATCACTGTAAATTCATATATGCAGCTGTCCTGTTGTGTCAGGTAAATGAAACAGTTTCCTTGAGATCATCTACCATCTTTGGCTTTTACAATCTTTCCACCTCTCTGCTGAAATGATCTCTATGCACGGTGGGAAGTGGTGTGATATACATCTCCTGTTTAGGGTTGAGTACTCCATGGTCTGTTATTCTTTGCACATTGACCAATTAGGGCTTCTGTGTTAATTGTCATCTACTGCAAGAAAAATCTCTGATGAGGGTTGACTGATCCTAATGTAAATTTTTAAACACCAATTACTCAGTATTCAGGAATTTATCTGCCATCCTAACAATTAGGTACTCTTTGGTTTCCTTGTTGCTTTGTACTACATAGATTTGATTTTTTTATTATGACAATTTTTTGATCCAGAAATTTTCAGATGCATTTTTAAATATATCTTAAATGTTTTAAGAAGTGAAAACCCGAGTTTATATCTGGTTCTCATTTCTAATATGACAACATTCAATGAAAGATTACATTTCAATAATGCCTTAAATAATGACTACACCTTGCCAAAATATATCTATCATTAAATAAATATTCTATTGGTATACATATTTATAATTATGTCATTATTATTATTATTAGAATAACTGTATCTTTTGTGTCTAGTGAACCATTATTATTCTGAGCTTGAATTCTCCTTTTGGGTAGTAAAATTTATTGGTTTCAAATTATTTTTTTGTATTAACATAGCTTGGTACTCTGGTTACATTTGAGTTTATATCTCAGTTTTAAAATTGGACTGCATAAGTTATCCTGTGTCTGTTTTAAATAGCATGTATATAGCTGTAGCTATTTTTTAAGATTACAATATAATTACAACATTTTCCCTTCCCTTTCCTCCCCTCAAGCCCTCCAATGTACCCCATCCTTGCTCTCTTTCAAATTCATGGCTTCATTTTTCGTATATATATTTTATGCAATAAAATATAACCTGGTTAGTTGTCTCTCACACACTCACACACACACACACACACACACATATATATATATATATGTGTGTGTATATATATATATATATATATATATTCAGGACTTACCATTTAGCACTGGACAAGCGATTGGTGTGCTTCTTCCCATCCACTTTTGCAAATCTTCTGGTGTTGTCCTTGTTTGGTCACATATGGGCAGTCAAGATGGAGAGACTGTATGAGCATACTTCATGTTTATTCAATCATGCTGGTGAGAATTTATTAGTATAACTTAGGAAACATGATCTCACAGCTGACTCCCTGATCCTCTGGATTTTACGGTCTTTCTGATCCTCTTCCCCAGTGTTTCCTGAGCCTCAAGTACAGAGCATTTTTTAGATATGTCCATTCAGTCTGGGATCCACAACACTGATATTCTATTGATTGTGGTTTTGTTTAGTAGTCAGTTATGTTACAAAATTTTCTTCATGAGTGGTGAAGACTATATTACAATCACAAATATGCTAAACTAACATGATCCCTAGCAATAACACTTGTTCATATATACACACTTGTTCATATATACACAGGTAATTGTAATTATTTTGGGTTAGTAGTTTTTAAACTATGTGTGTGTGTATTTCCTAAATACATGAACATAAAATACAATATATTTAATCCGTATAATGTTACTTATATGCACTTTGGTATTGGACAGCCAGTTGGTGTGCTTTTCCCTGAGAAAATCTATTTCTCTAGAACTCAACATTCCTAAGTTACTCATAGTTTTTTTTATAAGAGGCCCCTCAGGCTTTCCTCAATTCACCTCAGCATGTCTATGGTTGTCCTTGTTCAGCTCTTGTTTAGATAGGCATGTTGGGAGATTTTATGCTGCAGCTTCTGACATGCTTAGGAGATTCAATCTCATAGCAAACTCCTCATCCTCTGTGCCCACTAATCTTTCTGCCCATCTTTTCACTATCAGTTTTACTCATACAGCTGTTTGTTTTTAGTTTTCATGGTCCTCTTCAATATTTGAATTTCTTTAATTTCTCCTCTTCTCAAGTGGCAAACCCACTTCTTAAGGAGTGATTTATATTCAGTTTGGGTATGTGTTAGTGGAAATGTATTTATTCCCACAATTCTATTTCTGAAGATAGAGAATATTGAGGCTGAAAATGGTTGAATATCATTATCAAGTAATACAAAACTGTCAGGTGATAATTTTGCTACATCCTGGTTTATGTGTACAAACATAAGATGATGGTCTTAATGTACAGACAGTGGAAAAGCTGGTTCTGTAAAGCAATTTCACCTCACCATTATAGAGAGCTAACCTGTACTACCTACATATAGTAGTTGATTTTAAAAATAACTTTATCAACCAATGAATGAACTATCCCACTGCAATAATTAATAAATTATTCCTAAATCTTCTGTGATGGTTTGAAAGAAAATGCCCCCACAGGGAATGGTACTCTTAGGAGATATGGCCTTGTTGGAGTATGTATGGTTTTGTTAGAAGAAGAGTATCACTGAGGGCATGCTTTGAGGTCTCAGAAGCTCAAACCTGGCCTACTGGCTCTCAGTCTCTTCCTGTTGCCTGTGGATATGGATGTATAACTCTCAGCTACCTCTCCAGCATCATGTCTGTCTCCATGCTACCATGTTTCCTGTCATGACGAAAATGGACTAGGCCTCTGAACTGTAAGCCAGACCCACTTAAATATTTCCTTTATAAGAGTTGCCATGGCCATGGTGTCTCTTTGTAGCAATAGAGACTCTAACTAACACATTTTCTTTTGTGAATCTTCTATAATAAGTAATTTAGCCTGAACTATGATGTCGTTATAACTGATAAATGCATATCTTTTATAGTAGAACTTAGTATCCACATTCATGTACCTATATAATAATAATTTCTTTTACATGATTTTATCGCATTCTTTATCAGTTCTTTAACAATTATTTTGCAGAAAGTTCTTGACTTACGATGATTCAGTGTTATACTCTTTCCCTTCTACTATAGCAGGAAAGAAATATTCTTCCATAGAAACTCAATGCTGTTTTTATTTTTGTTAATTCTAGCAGAATAAATAAGGTAGCCAATGTGACACTGGGCAGCAGAGTCAGTCTCAGCACCCAACAAACCTTGAAGTCAAGAGGGTAGACACCAATATTTAACAATTTGCAAGTTACTCAGCAATGATGTTCATTAGGCAATGAGTAATTTTGACTTAATATTTTCAATTTGTGATAGTTTTATAGGGAGGTAATCCCATTTTAAGTTGAGGAGCGTCTGTATTAAATTATAATTTTAATAACTTCATCCCTGTTTTATTATGTTCACTTACCATATTTAATTAAACTCATTTTTTGATGTCAGACAATGAGATTGCTTCCAATTATTTTCCTCATAATAGATTCTATTTCATGAACTTATTTGTATAGCTAACAGATTGTACTCATACAGATATGTGTTCAAATCCAACTCCATTCTTTACCATGCGACTCCTCTGAATTTCATTCTGCCAAATGCACAACATGCTTATTGAGATTAAGTGAATAACATTATCTGCCAAGAGTAGTGGTACAAACCTGTAATGCTCGCACTATAGCTACAGACTGAGAGAGTCAGAAAGGGGCCTACCTGAAAAAAATGTATTTTGGATGTTCCTCAGTGTTCAGTGAAATTAGCTATCCTTCTGAGTATAACCAGTACATGTATATGTGGGACAAGTTTGTCAAAAAGCAAACAGCTAATGGCTTTTGCTGGGTGTTCGCTGTTAGCAGCTGTCTGACTCAGTGCCACATACCTCTTCAGCCTGAAATTGTGTGGTAAAAATGAACATCACATTTGCTGTACAGCCCATGAGCCCCATGCCTTAAGTGAACACATACAATAGAGAAAGAGTCACATGAATGTTGGTTGCTTATTAAGGCCACAAAACTGAAAGATGCTAAGTTGATATTCAGGGTCTCTGACTATAGAGACCACAGACTTATATTTGTGAAAGTCCCAAGCATTTTGGATGCTGTTCTTATAACGTGAAAGTTTCAACAAGGATTCTTTTTATTTTTGGTACATTTATGTGTGTGTGTGTGGTATCTCTATGTGTATATTTATGTGCACATGTATGTTTCTATATGTGTGGAGGCCAATGATTAACATCCAGTGTTGTCTTTGGCTGCTCTCTTCCTTATACTTTGAGACATTATCTCTCTTAAGAGCTTACCTAGTTTGTTAGTTAAACTAGATTTTTTGACCACCAAATCCCCAGGTCTCCCTCCTGGGCACAGGGATTTGGCAGAATAGAACACACACTAAGAATTTATGTGGTTCTGAGAATCTGAACTCAATTTCTCACATTTTCAAGGCAAAACATTTACCCCCAGAACTACCTCTGGAATTCCTAAGAATGTTCCCCATGGCTGTCCAAATATTACATCTTCCTTAGCCATTTTCTTCTTAGCCAGGGTATTTAAGTGTTAATCATTTTACAGGCATACTTATTCTTCCCCGACAGATTTGGAGTTTCTTGAAGAGGTAGATTGATGCCACACCTTTTATAATTTCTGTAGCCCTTTTATCTTGAATATTCAGTGTATACATATAACCTGATGTCTAGGCAGTTTACATGAGCTATGTCTGTGTGACTTTTTTGTAGTAAATCAGTGAAAAATAAAATTGTCATTAGAAAACAACAAAATAAAACATGGTGATTGAAGGTCATATTAGGCTAATAAAGTAGAAAGACTAATATTTTTAAACATTTTAATTGTTATTTCTGTCTCTGTGTGTCTGTGTGTGTGTCTGTCTGTCTGTCTCTCTCTCTCTCTCTCTGTGTGTGTGTGTGTATGTATGTGTGTTCAGATCCTCTGATGCTAAAGTTTCAGAATGTGAGCCACCTTATATGACTGCTGGGAACTAAGTTTGGTTCCTCTGACAGAAAAACAAATACTCTCCATGGTTGATCCATCTCTTCAGCACCTTAGGGTTTTTAAAGCCCATTAGATTTCACTGGATATCCTAGATTAAAGGGTACTATAATGTTAAATTCTTTCTAGCTCATAATCTGCCAGCATTAAATGTTTAATTGTGAGTGGATAACAGTCAATCCCCTTGAACGCTAGTGAATACATATCAGCTAACACTTCCTCATCCAACAACATTCCTCAAGACACTTTTGAAACTTTGTCCGAAAGCTACACCCTACCTGACATGATAGATGATTGTATTACGTTATCGGTGATTATTTGATACTCAAAAGCATACATACCCAGATGTAGTAAAATGTATGGAAAGCAGTTCAAATCAATGCTGAAGTCTAGAATGGTCACCCTCAAGCCTAACAAATTCTAGGTGCGTCTTAATGCATGCAGCTTCCATAAAAAAATGCAACTAACTCTCTTAACCTCACATATTGGTGTCAAGCTTAATATGATAATATATTGCTACCAGCCTTGTAGAAGGTGCTTAAAAATAGCTGCTATTGTCAGAATTGAAAGATCACTTATAAAAAGCCCCTATCTTATAGTCATTAGGATTTTGAGGGCATTCAACTAGTATAAATATAAATTGAGTTATGTTTAAAGGTGTAAAGTATACATGATTTTTTGCTCTTCAGAATAGTAATTACATATCATATCTCTACTACTGTGACCAAGCCTGTGAAATCATACTAACACATTAACTAATAAGAATTAATAAATAAAAGCTTAGGTGAATCAATTATATTTATTTATTGTATTGGATTTTAAAATAGATTAACTTTCCCTGAAATACCATTCGAAAATATTATTGGCATGGTGAAAATTGCTTAATTAATTTTATTTTTCAATCTGGCAAATCTTTCCCTTGATTGTGTAGTTTCATTTCTTTTTATGAACTTAATAATCATAACACTTTAAAATGAGTTTAATAATGGTCATTATAATTTCTTCAAATATGAAACTGGAGAGATATCTCAGTGGTTAAGAACATTAGCTGTTTTCCTGGTGACCCAGGTTTGAGCTCCATAACTTGCATGGTAGCTTGCAACTGTCTGTCTCCAGTTCAAGGTGGCCTGACAACATCTATTGGCCTCCATGGGCACTAGGTATACACATGGTACAGAGACACATACACATGCAGGCAAAATGCCCATATACATATAAAATATTTTTTAAAAATAATTCCTTTTAAGAATTGCCTCAAATATGCCAAAGCACTGACAAACAAAAGCCTGTTTGTTTATTTTTTGTGAGGAAATTCAAT